ATATATCATGTGGCTGGGGGTCAAAACTTTCCACTTCCATGAGGAAAATAACTCCTTTATGGATTTGAGGAATGGAGAGTAAGGTGGAAGGGAAAGTGACTCCATCCTATGCTGGGCTTTAAACCAGTGTGTGACTGGGAGAGAGCATTTCAGCTAGGACTGCCCCTTCTTAGTCAACTAATAGCTTGTTTTGGTCTTAGTAGACTAAGATTTCTTTCGTCAATCAGTCATTTTTCTTTATTTTTGTTTTTAGGACTTATCTCCAAGACAATTATGAGCATATCTCTGGTATACACACATGATTTAAAGTGGTGCTTTTGTGTGATTCTTTGTGGAGAAACTCAGTTTTACAAAATCGTATGAGCATTAGTGGTCAGCCCTGATTAAAACTTCCCCCCTTTCCTCACCTTTTACTTTGTTAAAGTCATTTATAATGTTTTTTTATTCATAAAAAACAGACAATTGCTTCCTTGTTGTTCCTTCAAACGACTGGATTCATTCAAGTTTCTCCCCAACACTACATTTTACGAGATTACACGTGAACACATCATGATAGCATTATAATTTACCTTCACCCAATACTCATTTTCACTGAACAGAGCCTGAACTCATTATAATGTAGCCGAATGGAACCTTCGTTCTCCTGTCAATTTAACCACGGCCTGGTTGTTTACAATGTAACATATCAGAGATCAGCGACTAGAAAGCATAAACGATGTCCTGATCACATATTTTACAGAATATGGACGGATAAATATCGCCAGTAATTATTTCACACTGTGATGGTTAAAGTTAAACTGTGTCATTGATCCACGGTCCACACGCATGTCGAACCGTGAGGGGGGGTCCGTACGGATCACGGGTCGACAGTGGTCCGTTACACTGCTAGTTGTGATGCTCTGATTAACTCACTGAGTAATGCATTGCCTCACTTGATACAGATGTTTTTTTTATTTTGTGTGCGTTGCCAGATGTTGAGGCCGAGGCTGAGATTGTGTCACATTGAAAACACTGTGAATGAAAGGCCTAAAGATACCGGCGTCTAACTGTTGGTTTCTTTCAAACGAGCAGCATCTGGGTTTTACTCACTCGATCACTTGAGTTTTTTAAAAGCAGTTTGGTGACGATGATGATGGAGACAACGATGAAGGTCTTTTTGTTTGCTCTCTGTCCCTCAGAACTTGGCTGTGTGGTTCAGCTCAGAGGAGCCAACAGGTGAGTTTCCTTTCTCTCTTCGTCTTTCTGTCATTCATCATCATCATCACCTTCGCCTCCTCTTACTGTATGTCCTCTCTCAGGGCGGTATACAGAGTGGCCAGCGTCCAGCCCGTCATCAGCACCCACAGCTCTGTCTTGACTCGCCCCTCTCCTCACCTCTCCTCCCTCCCTCCTCCTCTTCCTCCCCCCATTCCGCATCCCCAGCTGTCCTCCCTCCCTCACCCCGTGCCAGCCCTGCCCACCCAGTGCTCCTTGGCTGGTGGATGCGATCCCTCCTCCCAGCCACATCCCCAGCACAGTCAGTCCCACTCATACTCTCAGCTCCACCTTCATCCCCAAACCGGCGGTCAGTCCAGCGGTCCGCCTCAGTCCCCGCACCTGTCCCATCCCCAGCCGACGTCCCACTCACATTCCCAATCCCTTTCGTACCCCCAGTCCCATTCCCTGTCACGTTCCCAGTCCCACTCACAGGCACCATGCCAGTCCCAGCCCAACACCGCGGAGCAGAACGGCATCCTGGACTGGCTCCGCAGGCTTCGGCTCCACAAGTATTACCCCGTCTTCAAACAGCTCACCATGGAGGAGGTGGGTGGGCTTTAGATGCTGTGATGCCATTTATTTAAGGTGTTTTACAGGAAACAGCAAGTATGCACAATCACTCACTTAAATCGATATTTCAGGCTGCATGTCATGTGTAAGCTTTTTACACTCGGATAAACCAGTATGTCTGCTTTTCTTAAACACGTGTACTTTTCCCGCGTCACCTTCAGTTTTTAGCGCTGACGGAGGAGGACCTGAACAAGTACGACCTGACCCAAGGAGCAAAGAAGAAGCTCAAGACTCAACTAGAGCTACAAAAGACCCAACTAGAGATACAAAAGTCAGTAGAGTGAGCTGCTGGTATATAAGTGAACACTGTGTTTGGTATATTTTCACCGCTTTTGAATCTTGCCATCAGACAGCCCTTTCTGACAGGGAACCGAAGCCGTTATCTGTGCTCTCTTCAAACTCACAAGACCCCTTTGACAAAATTTTAGCAGACCAGCAATTCCTGTGTTCTGTGAGGTACAATTACAGTTTTTGTCAAATATATAGTCCCATATAGTGAAGTTGCTGAATTCAGTATGGCTGCACCGCTGATGGCAAGCGATGTGTGTGGTGATGTTAACATGAGGCTCGTTGGAGTTAATTTGCCGTTTTTGCATTGCAGATCTTTGTGGCGATGCACAGTTAGCAGACGCTTTGTCCTATTAACGATTAACAGACAGACCGATCAGCCGCTGATTTGGAAGGCGAGTATACAGCAGTAACGGTCCATACAGCGTCAATGGTTAACCAGCTGTGAGTAGGCCGGAGAGATTAGATATACTCATGAGAAGATAACCAACACAAACTCACGCAAAGCCACAAAAACATTTGGAACTGGGAAGCAAATGCGTCCACATGCTCCGACTCTCTCACTTAAACAAACACACACACACACACACACATCCGGCGCACACACACACCTGGGTTTTTCCCACGTGAACCTGCTTTAATTATCTCTTGATCGTGTTTCCGATCCCCAGAATGAACAGGTTTCCATGAGGCAAGAAGGTAGGGTCAAGGGTCAAGTTAACACACTAATTTATCATCCGTGAATGTCCTATTGTCCTTTTATGTTGGTGGTCTATTAAAGCCCATCAAAACTTGTTACAGTAAATATTTATTACTGAACAAGCAACAGTTCGTCATCAGGTATGTGTGTGTGTGTGTGTGTGTGTGTGTGTGTGTGTGTGTGTGTGTGTGAATGCTTAAACAAGACACAGAAAATGGAAAGTTGCTGCAGTGGTTTTCCATGAGACGGTCTTGATGGGTTGGCAGATGTGTTTGTAGAGGAGCAGTTGAGATGCTGAGGAGCATGTTGAATGGATAATGTCTCCCCCTGGTGGAGATAAGTGCGGATTTAGGTTTCCGACATAACCTGCGACCTGTTAAGGAGACAATCATTTTAAATGTATGGTATTTAGGACATTTTGTTCTGTTCCAGTCTAGAAGAAAAGGTCCCTCAATGAAATGAACATTCCTTTAAAAACAGCAAAAGTCTTAACTTATTTATGATAGGAATAAGCTTCTTAAAATAAATGGGATGTACGTAAAACAGGATGAGCCACAGGATGCATGTCTCACACCTCTCTGCCTGTGTGTGTCCTCGGCAGGGAGATGCAGATGAAGAAGCGGCCCTGCAGCGGTATCGCCAGGGTGACGCCCTCCAGTCACATGGGACCCTCAACACATCCCACCTCCACCGCAGGTAATGCAGCCGCTCTGTTTCGGGCTATCTCTGCTCATTTGCCTTTATTCACATATGAGTTGACAGTGTTTCAAAATGATTCATTTGAACGCGATTCAAATGTGTCTTGTGTCCAGCGGTGTGAGGCAGTGTTTGCACTGGGCAGCTCCCAGAGTGAATGGATGGATTCGTACAACTGTGAGACGGTCACAATGCTGAGTTTAAAACATCCTATAACGTCGGTGTATTGGAATATGTTTCAGGAGAGCTGCGAGTGGAGGTGGACGCTGTGCCGCACCATCACCCCGTCTCGACAGACAGCAGCTCGTCCTCAGGCTACTCCAGCTCTCCCTGCTCCCCCCGAACGCCACTCTGCTGTGACTACACCTTCGACAGGACCAGAGACATTCACAGGCGTACGTTTTCTCACAGAACTACTGAATTATCACGGAGGGATAGTCCTCGGAAAAAGGACAGAGGCCGGATCAAATTCTTGAATGCAGCAGCTTGAAAGTGGTGTTAGTGACAACTGAGTGATATTTCCCTTTGTATTACAACACCAAATTAGCATTGAAATATTCTACTTCGAAAACCGTCAGTGTCTGAATTTGCAAGTTCGATTTCTCCTCTTTGAGAGTTCCAGCAGGTAATTTCATGTTGTGCAATAGTTTCAGGTGCAAATTCTGACAAAAAATTCTGTTAAAATTGTTTTAACGATGTCAACCGCTCTGAGGCCCAACTGATCAGAAAGAAATATTTTTGAGATTGTGTACTTTTTGTTGATACCTAACTTAACTTATACTGTTGAGATATGACATTCAGTTCCAACAGATTTGTACACACACACATTGGCATGGCAAATCACTTTAAACACACCACCGTTTCTGTGTTCCAGGTGTGTCGGGTCTGGACGCAGCAGGAGGGGGTCCAGAGAAGGACCGGTCCTGTCTCTTCATCCTGAACTCCAGTGGCCCGACAGGCTCCAGTCGCCCCACAGCCCAGGTCCTGCCTGTCCAAACCGACCCAGCCCCTCTTCACCCTCCCTCATGCTCCTCCCACCTCCCCCTCGGCCTCCCGCAGTCTCCTTACCACCCGCAGGCCAGTTACCCCCAGACCCTGCTCTCCCCGGTCTCAAACCCAGCACGCATCCAGAGTTCCCCCCGTAAGCCCAGGCCCCCTCCGCTGTGCACAGAGGACAGGACTAAGCCGCTGGGCTCGGGCCCACCTGTAGTTGGGGCAGGCTTCCCGTCGGGGCTCAGTGTGGGGATGGGGGTGAGGCTGGAGAGCCTGTTCCCTGGGCTGAACATGGACGGCTCTTCCTCACTCCAGGACTCGCTGGTTTGCCGCGGCCTGGCGGGAGCTGCCGTGGGTCTCATGGTGGAGACCAGTTCTGCTCTAACCTCCACCTCCAACAGCCTCCACCACGTCTCTCACCCCCCACTGCACTTCCATCTCTCGTCCTCTTCATCCCCTTCTCCATCTGGATACTACTCCTACCCACCTACTTCTTTCTCCTCTTCCTGTCCCTCCACAAAATCTGGCAGCTCCAGTAGTAGTGGTGGTGGTGGTGGTGGCGGCTTTGTTCCCATGGCAACCGCAAGCAGTGTTCCCGTGGCTGCGGTGCCCGGCAACACGTACTTCCCGGCCCAGCCTCCCTCTAGCCCCTCCCCTTCCCCCTCCACTGGCTCTTCATTGGATCACGGTTCAGGTCAGACCGCCTCCATGTGTGTCTGCAGCTCCTGCGGTTGTCGGGGTAACTGTGGCGCCTACGGGGCGTTGCCTGGATACGCGGCGGCCGGCTACTTGCAGCCGTTCAGCCCCTCCCTCTTCACCCTCGGTCCTCTGCTCCACCTCAGCCCCCTGATCGCCTCGTCCAGCGCCGCCGGCAACGGAGCCACGCCCTTCTCCTACCCGATGATGCTGCCTCCGCCCCTCTACCGCCAGAGCCCTGTGTCACATGACCAGCAGCAGGGCTTTGCCTTCTACCAGCCTCACGGCATCGTGGGGAATGGAGGCCAGAAGCGGGCCGCAGGTAACGTGTCCTGTTATAACTGCGGTGCCAACGGACACAGAGCAGAGGAATGCAAACAGCCGGCCATGGATTCAGCACAGCAAGGTGAGTGAACGAAGGAAGGGAACTAGTTGTTGATTCAATATTAATCAAATAAAGTTCCATTATAGAATATCATTATTAATGTTAATTATTGTAATTTCAAATTAGCAAATGTAATATTTCTTTCTCATACATGCTCATGTTGTCAAATAGATGGTATTTATATTCCCAGTTGTATGAGTACAAAACAAAGAATGTGTTATTCTTATTATGTAATTACCCCCAGAAATCCACACTATCAATAAATGGCACTGTTGTTTAGACTTCAACCTTTTGTCTGGACGTGAGAGATTATTTTTGTGAGTTTACTAGACTTGGAGATTGATCTTTGTTTATTTCCTAAAAAACTACATTTCCCATAAGCGCTTGACTTTCTTTCTCTAACACTGTGACGCATTTTGCATTTATGTTTTATCTTGTACAGCTCTACTTCACATTCTGTAATTGCTAAATATATTCATACAAAGTTTTATGGCAGCATTTTCAACAACTTTTTGGGATTCTTACAGACAAAGAAAGAATTCAATTCAATGTGGCTTTTGAAACAATGTTTTTATATGTAGTGCAACCAACAATCTATCCAAAAATACATAAGAATAGGCAGATTTCTAGAGCTGCAACGATTAATCGATGAATTGTAAACTATTACATTAATCGCCAACTATTTTGATAATCGATTAATTGGTTTGACTAAAGAAAAAAAACTCAATCTTCTGATTCCAACCAATATTTTCTGGCTTCGCAACTCCTCTATGACAGTAAACCAAATAGCTTTGAGTTGGGTACAAAACAAGATATTTGAGGACGTCATCTTGGGCTTTGTGAAAGATTACTCGCCAATGAAAATAACTGATAGTTACGGCCGTGCTGTTTTTCATCGGGCAAAGAGGGTTTGACTGTAGCTCAAGCATGTACGATTTGGGCGCTGCCAGAGCTTCAACACTGCAACTGTATTTCTCTGTTGTGTTTCACAGGGACATTTCGACTGAAGTACACTCCTCACTCTGACAGTAAGGACTCGGGGGACTAACCAGCGGTGTGGATTTGAACTGTCATACTCCTGACACAACTGTACCTCATGTTCCTGCTGAAGCCGGCAGGCGGCCGCCGCAGACAGCCCGCCTTGGGGGACGACGAGGCAACGCGAGTCTGTTCAAAAGACCGGAGGACTGGAGGAGCGGACCCATTGCCTCTATCGGAACTCTTTCTACAGAGAGATGAGAGGAGGACGGAAAAGAAACTGATTGGTGAGAAGAGGGGAGCGCTTGTCGTGGCCCGTTTTTTTTTTTTTTGGTCAGATTAGCTTTCATCCTTCCTCGGTTCTCCACGAATACAAAGCCGGAGATTTGTAAACTCTGCCTCGCTTCATTTCAGAGACGTGGCCGGAACTCTGCCTGTCATGTTACCCATGGTGCAGCAGTACAACCGTACATCTCAAAATCTGCCTCCCAGCTGAATGACTCAACATTTATTCTCGTGTAGGTGGTTCACAAACCAAAGGCACAGCACTCCAGTATCCTAACAACGTCCTGGGCACTGAGGCAAGTTCACTTCTAGTCTCAAATCGTGCCCTTATCCTGACGGACAGGACACCTTGGATGTATGCCCAGCACCACTGTTGTCTTCCCTTTTGATTCAACGTGCTGGTATATTGACACTTTAAAAAATAGCTGTTTTGTACAGTAGAGTCCAGTTGCAAGAGCTGTGTTCCAGTTCGTGCTGCATATTATTTATAGAGAGTATATACTGATGTTTAGAGTATATTGTTTTTGCAGCTAGAAGTCAACCAAAATGTTTTTTCATTTTATTCCAACAGGAAATGTTGCAATACACGTGCTCTGAGCAAAGTCCGACTTTAGAGCACAACTGCCAATTAAAGTCCTCAAAGAGAAGCTTAACGATCCCTTGCAATTGCATTTCTTTGCAGCTGTGAGCAGTTCCTGTACTTCCTTTGAGCATTGGATTGTGGGAGAATTGTGTCCATCAAAAGCACACGATTTTGAGTATACTGTACACACTACATACTCAAAACCTGCTGAAGATTAAGGTTTGCCGTTAGTATTTGGGACCTTTCGGCTGTATCGCTTTCTTGCACATTCTCCTAGAAGGCAAGTTAAAAAAAGAGAAAAAAACAGTCACTTTAAGGTACCCTGTGGTACCTTTTTTTTTTAACCACTTATAGTACTACAGAGCTCAACAGTGAGTGTTTGCGGGGACATGAATGACCCATTTATGATCGTGTTTTTGAGGTATCCTATTTCAATGTTTGATCGTGTAAACGCCATATACCGTTTCTAGAAACCGGGACAAGCCCTTATCCTGTTTATGAGACAAATATGCTAACTGGAGTACTCCGAAAGAAACCGGCATACTGGAAAAGAAAAGTAAAGCAGCTAAAACATGGCATTTATACGAACCGTATCCCGGTTATCGTGCGCCGCCGAATATCTGCGCTAGTGCGGCTCGGGCCAAGTGATGTAACAGAAATGCAGTTGATGGCAGCAGAGAAAGCGCCTCACTTCAGGAGCGACGAAGAAACAAGTTTGTCTTTCGGTGATAAAAAGGGGCGTGTTTATCATATATACAGGGATATGAATAACCTGATTGGTCTGTGCTAGATATGATAATAATAACTGAGATAATCCTCATGAATGGACAATCAATGTCCATGTAAACACAGTCACTGTCTTGTTGAACAGCTCCGGTTTCGGAAGTGAAATTCACATTCATTCACTCAATGGATGTTTCAGAAAATTCTGATGAAAAGAGTTTTAAACTTGAGAGAAAACCAACCAACTACGACGTGAATCATGGCCAAAAAACGTACATTATTATTTTAAGAGTGAAGGAACTATTCATTCCATAAAACCATTGGGAATGGCGCTCGTCACCTTTGGAAACTCACCGAAAGCTTTTAAGCTAACCATGGTTGATCTAAATTGAAGATAGATTTAGTTTACCACAATGTTACTTCTCCATGACATTGCAAATAAACAATATCATACAGACTTGTGGCTTCTACAGGAGCATCTGCATCACGATGTCATAGCTCCTGTCTCAGTCTACCTGGGATGGTTACGATATTATAATCTAATAATCAAAGTACGTGATTCAGAACGTGAATGGGATTTTCACTTCCGGATCCCCACTGTTGAGCTCAACGGAGTAACGCTTTGATGAGCAGGTCCGTGGTAAAAATGGATGTAATCAAAGCAGGGTTTAAAATACAGGATGAAGGAGTAAGGATGCACCCAATGCATTATGTGAGGAACACTTGATGTAAACCAGGGAACGTTTTAAAAGGAGATGAGTTCCCCTGATTCAAGGGCTGGAGCCCCCAAAGGAAGAGCTGAAGGAAGGACCCATGGTTCTGCTGAACCAGCTGCTCCACCTAGAAAACTGGAGTCCCTCTTCAGGGATTACTGATCACAGAGTGATTCATTCGTTCATTGTTGTCACCAGAGCCTGGGGCTGAATCCATCAACTTTGGGTGATCTGCAGCCTCTCTACCTCTGAGCCAACCCGATAGCAAAATGGCCTCCAGTGCCAAATACTGATCCTCTATAAACCAAGACAATCAGAATGCATGCTAAATGTTTTCAGAAACTCTTCTTGTCAGTACAGAATGAATTTGAATGTTCAGATCACACCTGTGTCGGACATTTCAAAAGTGCCAATTTGGTTTTCTGTTAAGTTCGGTGGTGTTTCTTTTTTTTAACGTTGTTGATGTAAGTGAATTAAGGTTGAGGGGACATCGACCCTAAACTTGTTCTCACTCCTGGAGAGGTGGATCTGACTCTTTTTGTAATTAATACAGTATGTACAGTCTTTATGCAAAACACATTTCAGGACTGTTAGAATTGGAACGAGTGTAAGTAAGTTGGAAAATGTTTCGCAGTGTATTCAAGACTCTGACTGAGTGAGTCCCTGGGCAGGACCCAGAGCTTTATAGACACGAGGACAGCTGGTCCTTCAGATGAAACTCTACCTGTGCCCCTGGAGGGCACACCACAGAGACACGGGATGTTTATTTAAAATGCCAAATACTGAACATTCGGTATGTATAACAACTTCTGTCTGTTGTTCAAACTAATGCTTTTGTATTATGTTGTAAAGTGACCCTTCGCTAAGTCCCGCCCGTCAAAACGCAGACTGGCCAATCGTAGCGTAGAATCAGCCAGCTCTGACCAGGGTCCGATAACTATATGGCTCAGCACCGTAGACCCTCATGCAGTCGTTTTCTTCATTATCAGGCTGGTTTAGTGTATTTGGTAATGTGATGGTGATACTTGTTACCTGGAGATGTTGGAAGGAGATATACGTTTTTAAAATGTCACGTTTCTACATAAAAACTTGTGGAGCTAACATAGTACGTTAGCACTTCATTAACTAGCGTTATCACTTCTATACTTTGCTAGCTCCTGGAGGTATACTGATACTGTATACACATGCTGCTTTTGCTTTTTAACAGTGAATAAAGACCAACCTGGCTATACAGGAACAACGTTGCTCCTTAATGTCATTGTCTTCTGTCTCGATCGCCAGGCGATGTGATGGTTCACTTTTACGCTGTGAACTGTAGAGGCTTTAGCTTCTATCTTTGTCTTTTGAGCCTGTTTTCACTGCTGAATTAGTTTGACATCCTGGATATATCCTTCTAACATATATTTTAGACCCGTCTTTCTGCTTCTCTCTGAAATCTCTTTTTTTGTTTTTCCCAAAACTTAGATAATACTTCTTCACGGAGTGCAGTTAGTGACAGTGTGGGCTCCGTGGTATAGCTACGAAAGCTTGGCCGAGTAGCAGCAGGGGGCGGGGCTTAACCAAGGGTCAATTGTGTCACAGAAATAGAGTGCAGGAGTGAGTCCTAATACCTGGAAATGAGTCAGCATTTTTGCACTCCCTCGTCTCAATGAATCTTTTGATTAGGTTATTGGTTATATGCCTGAAATAAGGTCTGTGGTGAAAACCAGCTGGCAGTTTAACGTTTTGTTCAATTCAATACAAAACATTCAATACATCAGTACATACTCATTATTCATTTTGAAGCTTTTACATGGCCTAAAAAAGGCAATCGCTAACAAGTTGTTAAATGAGACTACAAAACGTCATCCTGCCAACTATACCTTTACAGTTATGTAGTGTATTCCACTCATGCTACCCTGGTGGTTTACAGCATAACATTATCCCCTTGAATGATCTTGCTTAACACAACTTGTAAATGTCATAACTTGTTTGCCACAGAGCTTATTTTCTGCGAGAATCCAAAATCCAATGAAAAAATCCCATTGGCTTTGTCCAGGGAACCAGTATGATGCTGACCTTCAAAAATATGAATAGTTTTTTACTATTTCATTTAGCAGTTTCCTGAGACCAGACATGAGTCTGAATCTGTGCCTGGTTAACTGATCCTCCAGCATGCATGTTCATCTTATGTAAAAAGTGCTTTTGGAATATATGTGTGCAAATGTTTGAACAGTTCATTTGTAGGTCAGATTTTTTTCATTACCCAATGTGTTTTAAAACTTGTTTTATTTGAACCTTGAGACGAGTAATAAAATATTTTCTGATTCTGTCTTTTATCACACAGTGTATAAGCCCAATTTATCAAGTTAAAAGGTAATATAAGCCATTTAAAATATTCAAATACATACCATTAAGCCTTTTTCACATTAGACATGTTGGAGGACAATGGCTGTGTTACTGTGTTGCTAACAATAACAATGGCTTTGTTCAATTCACAAGTTCTTGTAAGCTGTGAAAGTGAACCAGGACCCTGAAACTGACACAGCTAAATAGACTTCAGCTGCCATTCATCTTATTATAACATTCATTTCATCATGATTATATGTCAAATTGTCAATATTGAATTGAATTCTTAAAGGTGTACTGCCCCGATCTAGCGTTGTACAGTGATATTAGTCTCGTCCAATCGATTACGATGATTGCCGCGCAATGCATGCCGATTCAACTTTTGTCCGATTTGACCCTGACTTTCAATGGCATCACGCACATGTCGGTAACGAGAACCTCATGAAATCGAGGCGGCTGCTGCAATTGCTCATCACTGACTGCAAGACGCAGGGCATGATCGGAGACATTGCAAATGCCGACCGCCTCACGCCCAACGAGATGAAAAAGCTCAAAGACAGAGTGAGTCCCAGAAGTGCAGCTCCACAGTGAATTCAGCATGTTTTACCGTCTGCAGGTTGGTCACTGTAACCATTCATCTGATTCATCTTTACATACGAGAGGAAATAGACAAGTTTAGGATGAAAGTACCAGTTCCCCCAGTGTGACTCTGATGAGGATGAAGAGTTTAAACAGCTTAACAAAGAGCTGAAGGTGAGTCTGTTTACAGGAAAACATGTTTTCTCACTCGGGGTCAATGCCCGAACACACCCTCTCAGAAAATACTGATAAGACACCAAAAGGAATGTCTGTCTTTTTATTGTTATTTGGATGTTTCATATTTATTTATTGTGTTGGCTTAAAGGGACAGTGTGTAGCATTAAGAGGGCTCTATTGGCAGAAATTCAATATAATACTATTAAACATGTTTTCTTGATTGTTTAATCACCTGAAAATAAGAATCAATGTGTTTTCGTTACCTTAGAAAGAGTTTATATCTACATATGAAGCGGGTCGTCTTCACGGAGCCGGCAGCCATGTTTCTACAGTAGCCCAGGAAGGACAAACCAAACACTGGCTCCAGATAGTCATTCGCGTTTTCACGTTGGCCATCGTAGTTCTCCTCTACACTTGGCCCACGAGCAGTTTCAGTTGGTTGCAGTCTGCAACCTCATCGCTAGAAGCCGCCAAATCCTCCACACTGCACCTTTAAGAGTAGTCAGATATAATAATATACTGAGTAAATATACTGGAATCAACTAATCAGACACTTCTGCTGATGACTAAAACTACGTGTGACATGATGTCACTTCCTGCTCGTGGGATGTCAAGTCATCCAGATAATAGTTTTATGTGCCGAGATTTTTAGATATCCGCCTGTAAATCTACATCTACTAAGTGACCTTTTAACCCTTTAAGTGGTCTTAAAACAACGTTTAGAAGCAGCAAAAGGTTTTTGGTTTGTGACATGAATACACTGATCGGCTGTAAAAATCTTTGTCAGAAAAATGAACAAAACATGTTGCGTGCCTCAACAATTACATTCTGGCCTCTCTGAAGCCGCTCTGGGTTTTTGTGAAAGTGTCTCACTGTGAATGTGTACCAGCGCCCAGCATGCTCAGTCAGCGTTCTCTGGATAGATCAGGGTTAAAAACAAAAGCAAGCAACCGCCTTCAGTCGCCCAGGATGAATGTAAGGATCAATACAATTTCAGTTTAGTGACGGTTTGGGTGACCGTTTGGAAATCGATGGTTGCATTTAATTACAAACGAGGCCTTGGTAAACAACGCTGTCTTCTAATTCTCGGCAATAGCTGACCTCTGGTCAGGTAAACAGGAAGGCGTGCCGGTGAGCAAAGTTGGACCATACAAGATATTTGCCACAGACCTGCAGAATCTGGCCACCAGAGGGGAGCTAGAGAGTGAGGCAAAGGCAGTAACAGCTTGCATTAAGTCTTTCCATTTACACGCTTAGAAGTTCTTGATGGCAAAAAATGTAACTCCACACAATCAGTGTCAAGTTTCAAATGCATTCATTCATACCATCGTTGTGAAGTTACAAGAGAAAAACTTCAGAGAAAGTTGTATGCTTTTATCTGTAAGATGTCTTCTGTGAAAAAGGTTTATATGGTTCGATTCAGGTAATAGTCAGTGTCCTCCTAAACTGATGCACCGGTGCAGAACATCGTTTCACTGCCTGACAGGAAGATTAGGCTCGTTCAAGATGAACTGCACCTCGCCTGGAAAGTGGACTAGAGAAGGCGTCAGCAGCGGCAACAATTCAAATCAGACAATTCATATTTAGAAATAATTATTTAATATCATTACAATTCAAAGTCCCTTTCAAAGATGTGCGCAAATGAAATAGCAATAAGATTTGTGTTTAAATAGTCGGATCCTAAAAACTTTACTAGTGGACTGGAAGAGTTGTGTTAAAATGATCCAGTGGAGCAACAGGCCTCATTTAGTCATGGATATAAAAACAACTATTCTCATCCATAGAAAATGACAGGGCGGACAGTGGAACAGACCCATATTTACACATGTATGATTAAATGTTTCAGAATGCTAAAAAACATCTTTAGTGTTGCATCAAATTACTTTCAATGTGCCTTTATTTTGGTACCACTTAGCAAGCTAAAAAGTGGTGACCATTGTTTTGTTTTTACCCAGACATAAGGAATGCATATAAAAGGGAACATTTTCTGATCTATATTTTTGCTAAATGTATGTTTAGCAGAAAGGGACACACAGGTCTGCACCCCTCCAACTATAAATACCTGCCTCTGGGATTGCGCGTTCACCTCAAAAGTAAATAACCAAAATGATATTTATTTTTAACACTGGTTCAAAGTACAGACAATCAACTGTTGGCATGTTAGAAATTGTGTTTCTTGTGTTTATTCCGACTGTTTCTCACTGTCACTGGTCACCTTTCTGGTATAATCTGGTATAACTGGCACTGAGAGATTAAAAAAAAGTGCAAATTAAGAAAAAAACATACAAAAAGCAAACAAATTTAAAGAACATCTTCACCAATCTGGCAACAAATGCGCAAACAGAGAAAACACAACCAAATATAGCAACCTGCTGCATGTCGCACCACACAACAATGGAAACTGTTTCCAGGTGGACATTTAAAAGTGATGGGCACAGCTGAAACTATAACCCATAAGTCCGGGGCCTTTTCTGAACATTTTGGGGCCCCAAGTGGCATTTTACAGCAGGACCCCCTTACCTCAAAGCTTAAGGCCACTTAGTCATTTTAATATCCGTTAATGAAAATGACAGAACAGGCATACTTTATCAACTAAGCTTTCAACTAACAAATAAAGCACATTATAAACTACCACAGAAGAAGTTTTGAGTACTTTTGGCAGCTGTTTATATTTCTGTCTGTGACCGCCACAGCGTTTGTATTTGGTTGTGTTTTCTCTTTTTTGGGTTGTTTTCTCTACTTGCAGTGCGTTTCTGTATTTGGTTGTTTTCTCTATTTAAATGTTTTTGTATCATCAATCTTAATGTCAAATTAGTTAGAATGTTTTTTTTAATTTTTTATATAATTTGCTTGTGTTATCATATTGTCAGGGCCACCGGGTGGGTTCCCTATTCAGTGTGTACCGCATATGTAACAGTAATGTAAAAATATAAGAACGGAAAAAACTAATGTCTCAAGACAACAAATGCATCTAAATTAGGAGTTTTAGAAATATGAAAAAAAACATGAACCTCATCAGCCACCCAAGCACTCATATCAGGGCTCAGCATTTGATATTTGCAGTTATAATAAATACAGAAGCCTCCAATACATGTCTCTGCTGTGACATCCTTCCTTCTTCTCTGTGACTGAAGTCTTGCCCTCTGAGGTGTAACTGTGTGATGAATGATATCTGGGGAGTAGCCACTGTAAACTGGGTTGGACACCATGTGAGGAGATGTGGCATTATGATGATGATGCCAGATACTGAAAACATGAAGCATTTATGTTTGGAAGGTTGACAGCTTTGTTGAGAATTGTTTATAGGTAGAAAAACACACGCAACACATAACATGTTTTTTTCGCCTTTTATTGTTTACAAAATACCAACATAAATACATAAGAAGAGGCTGTGTGATATTGCTGAGTGTGGATACGTGTGTGTGTGTGTGTGTGTGTGTGTGTGAGAGTGTGTGTGAGTGTGTGTGTGTGTGTGAGAGAAACAGAGGAGCAGGCAGAAACGACCCCGGACACAAACGCTCCACCCCTCTGTAACAAACACACAGTGGCTTTCACTTAAGGAAAGCTCTGTAGGGCCGGCATCACATACTGTCGACAGCGAAGAGTATAGACATGTTGTACAGTGACATAAAAATCACATCAAATAAAAAGGAACCAAAATGATAAAATACCGCAATATATAAAAGCAGCTGTGAAGAAGACGGTGAGGAGGAAGCACAGTATAAAGGACCATCTATAGACAGACAGGATATTCTACTTCTTTGTTCTTTCAGAGTGCAGCCCCTTTAAAAACCCCACCGGGCCGGTGCACGCTCCCCCACAGGCAGAACACAGAAGCACAGTCAGACAGGACGCTCGTCAACCCGCCTCTGTGTGACCGTCGTCCGTTCCTTGATCACCTTAATAAATACTCGTGACAAAGGACATTAAAAAAAGGGAAAGGGGGGGGGCGACCACACGTCCCCCCTCATCATTTACAGAAATGCCTCCTCATCATCCTCCATTCACACCATGCAATCAGACCCTGCTCCTGTAGTGCGTCCAAAGTCAACTTGGTTACACTCTCATTGGAACCCCCTTTATATTCTAAGCTGTAAAGTCAATAATATCTGTACACCAAGGCTTTTTTTCTTCTTTTTCTTTTTTGCAAACTACAATCATCCGTTTCCAGAGCAAAAGCAATTCCCCTAACATAGCTGTGTTACAGTGAAGACGCTTTAGGACACCAGGCAGGGAGGGATAAAAACACGGCGGGGATGCATTAACAGGAATCTTCTCTACTTCATTTAGACTACAAACCCCAAAGCTTCACCTTGTCGCTGCAATAAAACAACAGGTGAACCCAGAAGCCCTCATCTTTCTCTGGTGCCCGTCTCCACAAACCTTCAGATTCAGGTTGGCTTTGTTCATTGGCTAATGTATATATAGACAAGTGGTGGCGCCTCGCCACTTTAATGCAACATCACTACCTGAAATGTATATATCATTAACATAAATACAGCCGCGGAGACACGTAACCACAACACTGAAAATAACTGCCGTCGACTGGTTGGTCCAGAGAGGACGATAAAGAAGCAGAGACACACACTCGCTAAAAGACTCTATTGGCCCGAGTCAGATTTGGGGATTTCTCTACTTGAACTGTTCCGATTGACCCTTGTGGCTCTATGCTATTGGGGGAGTGCGGTGGTACACAAACAGTCGCTCATTGCAGTCATAAATAGGTCACAACCTGAACCAATTCCAGCTGTAAATTACCGTACGCCGTGTTTACATTAAGCGGTATGTGTTTTAGTTCTTACAGTCGAGACTAGAGGGGGCTAAAAACTACAATTGTTCAATGGCCTGCCAGGTGGAAGAAGAAGAAGGGAGGCTGTTCACTGGGCGGTCAGAGCAGAGCCAAAGGTCTCCTGGGAGGCGTACACCATGTAGAGGAAGCCATCTTGGTCCCGCTCCCGTTCGTAGACCTCAGAGATGGCAGCCGACACGGACACCATGCTGTGGCCGTTGGCCAGCAGGAAGAAAGCCTGGTTGGAGTTTAGCTGGAGGCGCCTCCTGGTGGCGAGACATGGACATGGCAGAGTCAAGAGGGGAGGAAAAGGTAGGAGGGGAGAGGAAAGGACACAAAATGAGAGTGGGGATAGGAAAGGAGAGGAAGTGGGTATGGTAGGAGAGAAGACTAAATGAGAGGAGAGGAAAAGAAAGGAGGGCATAGGAAAGGAGGAGACAAGAAAAGAGAGGGCAGATAGGAAAGGAATTGAAAGGAGAAGAAAGAGGGGAGATAGGAAAGGAGAAGACATGAGAGTAGATGAAAATACAGGAGGGGAGAGGAGAGGAAAGTAGAGGTAATGGAAATAAAGAAGGGGGGGATAGGAATTAAAGGAGAGGGGGACTTGAGGTCTACCTGATGATCTTGATGAGTTCACTCATGTTCACGTGGTCTGGCACCAGGAACTTGGTCTTATCCAGGATGGGAAGCTGCTTTTCTCCTTTATACCGCTCAATGATCACCTACAGGAGACACACACACACACACACACACACAATCAATCAATGACTCCTCCCCTTTCTAAAAGGGTGGAATTCTATGAAGGCAGTATTTCCTGTGCCGTTTCTAGACCCGATACCCTGACTAGTCCAGAGTCCATGATCAGGATCATGATAGGATAGGATAGATTCACTCGCGCTATGAACATGAAATCTTTTAAGATGTGCTTTAATTCAGCCTTTAAACTGCCAGTACACAGACTGACACTACTACTGACAGTAACCCACTAAGGCTGGCTGCCACAGAGCATCCTCTGAGTTTATGCAATTACTTATTGAGCCATCTGATGTCTCCTTTAATAAGATATGATCTACTATGATAACCGTTTGTTCAATGGAAGTTATGAGGAGCTGTATGACGGATACATCATTATACCATGGTAGTGATATAGTATACATTGCCAATACATTTTCTGGAAATTCATTAAAGAGAAGGAATTTTTATATATATATATATATA